CCGCGCGGCGGCGCGGCGCCCCCATACCCGGCGGCGCGAACGGCGACGTCCAGCAAGGTGAGCGGGAGGCGGCGGGAGCTGCTGGCGGCCCGGCGGGTTTCCCCGTGTCGCGTTCTCTTTTCTGACATCGGGCGAGCGATCGCTTCGATTTCGCTGGGTTTGGACCCGGAGCTTTTCTCGGCCCTGTTGAATCGCTGCGTACGTGACCGGCTGTGTCTCTGCTGCCCCGACCTTTGCGATCTGTCTCAGCGCCCCTCGGCAGCTTGATTCTTGTTTTCAAGTGACAGCTGAAACTTGGCAGTTCTTGGAATTACAGTGTAAATTGTGTTGTGCGTTTTCCTTTGGCTTTCAGGGCTGCTCTGGTAGAGGCGTGTCTGTGAGATGTTTGGCTATTCAGTTCTATACTTCCTGGAAAAGTAATTACGAAATCTAATTCACTGTTGCCACAGTATTACCTGCTCCGTTGGAAATGGTGTGTGTAGTGCACCTGCTGTCGGGTGCGCCTTTCCTTGGGTCTGAGGGAAAGTAGTGCAGGGCTGATTGTCCTCTGCATCGCTGTGCCTGTGCACTCGGCATGTACCTAACTTCAGTGCCACGGAACAAGAGCAGGCTGCTCCTTCCAGGTGAAATCACACCTTGAATTGTATTTTTTTATTTTATATGTTTAGGGATGGAATTGAAATGCTTCTGGAGCTTTTAATGGAGTGACTCACGTGCTGTGGTCTGCAGACCAAGCTAGGGCCCCTGGTAAGTGGTTTTGCAGGGCCCTGTGGTCAATGAGACCTTATTATGGTCAAAGAGATCTTACTTGGTGACATCTTTCTGGTTTTATCAAGGACTCAAGCCTTTCCTGAGTTGCACAGTGAAGGAATTAACCTGGCTTAGGTAGTGGCCTTTTCATCCAAACTGTTCAGAAGTGGTTCATCTAGGATGTGATCTTAGACCATTTGTTTTGAGAAGATGATGTACTAAATACAGTTTGTAAAAGCAATAATTAAAGTGCTGAGTAGGTGTTGTGATTCTTCTTATTAAAATGATGTAGCTTTGTGGACAGCTCTCTCTGCACTCTATAATGGGATCAGTTGAATGGTACATGAAATGCCTGTAGTTAAATCAGATACAAAATGGACATTCTCAACATACAGAGAAGTATCACATTACTTAGTCATGAAGGTTCCTTCCCTGTTCGCTGGGTCATGATAGTTGTGAAGTGTTACTTCCACTTCTGCTGCTTCTCTAGCCTCCGTAACTACAAGCAGGTGTTTTTCTTGAAGGAGGTATTAGTGGGAAGTGGTATCCATAGCTATACCTGCAGCAGGTTACACTTCAGGTTGTCACTGCTGAATTACATGCTGTACTATTTTTCATGCACTTAAATTTTTCTGTTCTTTTTCAGTGTTTATACATATGCATAAGAGAATTACACGTGCTGGGGAAAACCGAGTTTTCCTTTGATATTTTCGTGGGTGCTTTCTTAAGTAATTTCAGATCTTGCTCTGCAAGAGCTGTCAGTACTTAAAATAGTAAATAGGTGGGTTTTTTGGGTAATAACTGTGGAAGCTACCCACCAGGAGTTGAGTGTGAGGTTGGTGCCTGCAGAACAGGTCTCTGAGTGACAGAGTCCCTTGGAGAAGCATGCTGCTGTTCACAGATGGGACAGTAAGGATGCTTGCAGGCAGTAGTTTGTGGTCTGTATCAGCATCCCTTCTACCCTGTTGCCACTCCCTTGGACGACACTGCTAATGAAGGCAGAAGAATGGTCTCAGTTCCTAAAAGTTTGAGAAACACGTGCTAAAGTTTAAAACAATTATGCAAAGTTGTGGTTTGCTGTATTATAATGAAGTTAAGTGAAGTACCGGTAAAAGATTTTTTTGCTGTTTGCATTTATGTTGGGGAAATAATTTAGAAGTTTTTTTTGTTTATGTATTTAAAATGTACATAGTGTTATGTCATTTATTGAATTAGCATTAAAAGTAGCATCTTGTATTCAGTTTAATGATTTAACAGGAATCACTGGAATTTGCTTTTTATTTGGTGCATAGAGAATTTCTTAATGCCCAGTGTTTCAGCTGTCTAGCTAGACTCTTCCTATCAGGTTGAATAGGTTACAAGAAAATGCTGCTTCTATTTTTATCAGAGTATTCTGAAAAATGGTAATTTTGAATTTAGAGATTTCGGATTGTTACAGATACTGCAAAACAACTTTTTACGCATCTACTTCTGCTCCTGGCAAGATAGGTTGTTTAGAGATTTCACTGCCTCACTGAGATGTTTACAATCTCTCTTAAGAAGATTATCTCAGTAGAGAGAATTTGTGGCACTCTCAGTTTCTTCTGTATGTGGCAATCTTCATTAGGCTGAAAAACTAAAAAAGAGCTGCAAGGCACTTTTGGAGAGTTTGACTCTTAGCTGAGTGCTACATTATATAGTCAATGAATTTGGGCTGCTGAATTCAGCTCCTATACCCAGTGTTTGTGTATTTAGAAACCATGTATTAATCATACCTTACATTACACAGTAACTATTTTTAATTTGCTTTGGTGCCTGTAAGAATGTGACATATCACTTAAATAGTTTGGTAGTAGTTACTGTGTTGTCAGTCTAGAAACCTGAAAATTCCTGTGTTGAATAGACTGCTCAAGCTGTGGAAACGCAGGCCATCTCCATTTCAGTGCTAAGAATCTTGGTTAGGAGTGGACCTTGAAAGCTGTTAACTTTTTTAAGAAATAGATTTCTATTCTGATAGATTTTGGTCTGATTGTGTCACTCACTTGGCCTGTGAGGGTTTGTTTCAAGGTCTAATTACTGAAGCTAGAACAGGGATTTTTTGTATTGGCTATGCAGAAATATATATTTGGACCTGTACATTTCTGAGAGAAGTAAATATTATGTACATGTAGTAACTGTTATTTGTGTTCTCGGCCAATAAGTAGAACCTGGCAGAGACTAATTCCTTAGAGGACTGCATGTGTGCCAAGTTTGAACTTAAAATGGAGGTTTGAATTATTAGATTGCACAAGTGCTGACAGGTATTTCCTTAACCGTGAAGCTTTATCATCATTATAATAATGTAAACATCTGAAAGGATTTTGAATTTTCTTATGTTCACTTACTACTTTCATGTTGGGAATCATCCTGACACATTCCAACTGAAAACAAACACTTGTTTAAACCCAGATGTCTAAAATGATGGTGTTCACTCAGCAGTAATTGGGATTGAAGAAGGTTGATGACTGGATTGTCAGTGGATGATACAGTGGAGTTCTAGGCCAGTGCTGTTTCGGTTGTTGCTTTTTGTTCTCTGTAAGGTTTGATAAGTGTTTAGCTAGGCTGTGACTTGTTCATTTCAGGTTGACTGAAGTCCTAAATTCCTTCGTATCAAGCCAGAGTGGGTGCAGTAGCTGAAGGTTTCATGTAGGCTTTCTCTGGAGCCAACTTCTCTGCTTTGATCCTACAAGACTGGCAGTATGTAGATTCAAACCTTTTCCCCTCAATCTCTGTAGCTCTCAAGCATTTTTAAAATTTGGAGAAGTATTTTGTTAGGATTAAGATGTCAGACTGGAGAGATTAATTCCAAGCAGGTTTTGAATAAACTTCCTGATGAAAATAGTTTGATTAAGACTTTCATAGTTCAAGTAACCTGTTGAAAAAAATTGCCTGTTTTGAGATACATGCAAATAGCTATCAGAGAAATGTCATTACCCGTGGGAGATTTGTAAATATAAACATATGCAAGGTATACTCAGAATTACAATTAAGAAAAATACTTTTGTTGCAGTTTTAGGTGTTAGTAGGCAACAGTATATTAAAAACATCTTCTGTTTGAAATCTTAAGTTCTT